TCCATGCATGCATCCATGCATGCATGCATCCATTCATTCATTGAACAATTCGTTCATTCGCTGATTCGCTCATTCATTCATTCATTCATTCATTCATTCATTCATTCATTAATTCATTCATTCATTCATTCATTCATTCATTCATTCATTCATTCATGTGTTCATTCGTTCATTCGTGCATACATACATACATACATACATACATACATACATACATACACAAATATCCACATACACATGGATTTAGACAGACAGACAGACTGACTGACAGACAGACAGACAGACAGACGGACAGACAGACAGACATACATACACATCTCTGTATACAGATAAGACGCAGATACATACACCACACACACGGTTGGTTCGGATCATCCCAACAGTGTTGGGAGTAGAACAATCCTACTTAGGCCTGAATTCTAAACCCGCGAATCCAAAGCCTCGAACCCCTGAACTCAAACTCAGAAAGCCTACGCCCCAACACCAATCCACCGTCACCTCTGATCGTTTGGCTCACTTTAGGGGAGGAGCGAACTTTAGCTCCCAGCGTGTTCGTTGTTTCAGAAAGTAGACGCCTCCTGGCATCGGCGTCTGAGGGCCGGACCCTCATGGTTTGGATTGTTGTTGCAGTTACCTGAGCTTTAAACTAGCCTTGAATCAGTGACTTTCTGGCATCACGGAGGAAGGGTTGAAGCATCGACTCTCCAGCTAGTTTTGGGGTTTGGGTGTGGTGGATCCTCGTTCTTTCGGGATGATTTGGGTGGGGGTCAGGTTTGGTTTCTGTTTTCCCCCGACTCTTCAACTGACACACGGGGTTGCTTCTGTCCTGACCCTGTTTTTCGAGGCTGAGTCAAGGCGTATTCAACATTTGCCTGTAGTTGCCGATGTACACAGGAGCACTAAACTAGCCAAAGGAGGAGCAACGGCAGCAGCAGGAGCAGTGGATGTAGGAGCAGTGGTAGTGAGAAGTCGTCGGCGTCGAGTCGTCGGAGTGGGAATCGGAGTCGTACTTGTAGTGGTAGTCGTAGTCGTCGTCGTCGCCGCCGCTGTCGTCGTCGTCGTCGTCGTAGTAGTATAATAGTAGCAGCAGTGTCAGCAATCGTAGTAGTACTAGCAGCAGCAGCAGCAGCAGCAAGAGCAGGAGCAGGAGCAGGAGCAGGAGCAGGAGCAGGAGGAGGAGGAGTAGCAGGTAGCAGTAATTAATACGTAGTAGCAGTAGTAGCAATAGCAATAGCAGTAAGAGTAGCAGTAGCAGTAGCAGTGGCAGTAGCAGTAGCAGTAGCAGTAGTAGTAGTAGTAGTAGTAGTAGTAGTAGTAGCAGTAGTCGTAGTAGTCGTAGTAGTAGAAGGAGCAGAAGCAAAGCAGCAGCAGCGGCAGGCAGTGGCAGTGGCAGTGGCAGTGGCAGTCGTCCATGAGACCATAAGCATATATAAGCATCAGAGGCCTTGGTACTACAAGCCCATGGCAAGCGTGCGCAGCCCTGGCATGAAGGAGCCAAATATCCACGAGTTCTGTCTTGTTACTCTTGATTATAGCTATAGTATAATGTACCCCAGAACCACTCCCCAAAATCCCAATTCTAATGATCAAGGCCCTACCATGTAGATGCCAGTGACGAGGCTCGGGGTTTCCGGGTCTTGCCTTCACAAAGGCCGATGCGTTCCATATCCTGCTGCATCTTTGCGCTCCGGTTTTGGAGCTGCCAGAGCTATGTGAAGCAGTTCGAGGCACGGTCTGTTCTTTAGGGTTTAGGGGTTGAGGGTTTAGGGGTTTAGGGGTTTAGGGTTTAGGGGTTTAGGGGTTTAGGGTTCAGGTTTTGAGCCTTAGACGCAAACCTGGGTCTACGAGCAGCAGGGCTAAGCCATCTTAAGCCCTTAATCCTGAACCCTCGACGGTTTAGGCTGCAGACTTCGAACTTACCGACTCTCCACCTGGCAGTGAAGGGTTCACATAATGTAGGGGCCTTAATGATTAAAATAGGGTTTTGGGTTCCTCTATATAGTATAATTTAAAGTAAGGAACCTAAGGAATAATATAGGTAATTATTTAGGCTTCTAGATCACGTTCCAGTTAAGGGGTTACGTACAGGTCAGAGACCCAGATACCTATACAGGTCATTGGCTTTCAGACGAAATACACCCCCTAGTTACGTCTCTGTGTTCTCTTTTGAAGCACTGGTTTCAGGCTTGTGGT